GCATTATGATTGGGAATATTCACATAAGTGCTCAAGAAAGAATTACAGATTAAATAATACCTTGAATGTGTCACTTGCTTTTAAATTCATAGAACAATTGCAAATCAAAGTGGGGCTGGATTCAGAGCAAAATAATAGTTGAAACAAAGTAATAAATTAATGGCATGCAGCTGAGGTACTGTGTTTTGATTGTGAGTATAAAATGTTCTAGAAGAGGTTAAGGAGGAGGGAATGAAACTAAGTATGGAAAAATAAATCTCCTCTAGAGACTGAATATTAAGCATTATAAGCAGGTTAGACTTGCCATGCTTGAACATGACTTTGCTTTACACACCAAAGATTAGCATTTAAACCTGTGTTTGATCCTAGTATACATGTAAAAAAGTAAACCTATAGTGCTAAAAATGAAACTATTGAGAAAATACCAACCCTTACTGCATAACATGTCCTCCATTTAGGTGCACATTTACTGTTGTACATGAATTTACAGCATGCTCAGATTTGGAGAGGGTTTTGCTCATTTAGAGGATGAAATTTCTGAAGAAGGGTACTGGAAGTTATCTTGATACCCCGTCACAGGCAGGTATCATTGGACATTTATCAAACAGAGTCTCATATCCATAAGTAGCTTGTAGAAAATCTTGCTACAGAAAAGTGTGTGCCAAAAAATTGCAGTTATGGGTCTGGCTCATGGGAGAGAAATTAATTTAAATCACAGAATCTGTGGGGCTGGAAGGGACCCACAAGGATCATCAAATCCAAATCCTGGCCCTGCACAGGACAATCCCAAGAGTCACACCAAGTGCCTGAGGGCATTGTTCAAACACTTCTGAGCTCCTTCAGGATCTGTGGATCACTTCCTTGCAGTTCTTGGAGCTGAGACCCTTCCCTGGGGAGCCTGTTCACTGCCCCACCTCCTCTGGGGAAAGAACCTTTTTCTAATATCCAACCTAAGCCTCACCTGACACAATCTCAGGCCATTCCCTCGGGTCTTGTCACTGTCACCACAAAGCAGAGATCTGTGTCTGCCCCTCCTCTTGCCCTCACAAGAAAATTGAAGAACCCGTGTCTGAACTCAGAAGTCTCTGAACCAGGGGTTGCTGGACATTGTTAATGTGCAAAAATGAAATTATTCCCCTTTCCTGCCATTCCCTCCAGAAAAAGACATTCAGCTGCCGGTGAGGACAAGCACCTGGGGCCAGTGGAACTTCTCCACAGGAAGAAGAGAATTTTCAGCCCATTTCTGGCTTTGCTGTGAGTGTGGTGTGTCATTTGAATTTGCATTACAGGCAGCAGCGTGCACTGCTCTGCTGTAATCCACAGATTGATCTTTTATCTGACTGTGGAGCAGAGCTTCAATAACATTAGTGTGTGATGTTCCCTTACATTTCTTTTTAATGTTTGTGCCTCCCATGGGGCTTGCCCATATGTACACGAATCCAGCTGTATGCATATACCCTGCATTATTTGAATTCAGAAGCTGGAATTTCTCCCATTGATGTATGTTTTCCCATATTGCCTGTTAAGTACTTCTCTGTATTTTTAATAGATTTTCTGTTGAGTTTTAATTTTTCCATCTTTGGTTCTTCCTCTGAAGGTCATTTTACTATGGTCTGGCCATGTCTGTGCATTGTTTCTTGCTTCTTAATATACTGCTTTAATCTTAGTAAAAGCTTCACTATACTTTTTTCCATTCAAAGTTTTTTCCTTTCACAGAGGATTTTGCAGTTCTTGAAGAACAAACCATGATCCGTAGCAGCAGCCTCAACACCTGAGGATCCAAAATTTGCAAATTTTTATTGGACTTCTACTACAATATATTTTTGGATCGGGAAGTGGCTGTGGCCAGGAGTGGATGTCCAGGATCTGGTAATTGCTGTGCCTCCTTTGGGAGCATAGGGGGAAAGGCAAGGAAGAAATAGAGGGAGGAAGGTCAGGATCATTTGTTACCTGCCCTGAGAAATTCAGCAGGCAAAGCCTAAATTGGATAGTTCTTTCAATCAAAAACATTTTGCCACTGGAGGAATAAGTTTATGGACAGCAGTTGGATTCAAGGGATGGCAAGTCCAGGAATGCAATTAATATTTTCACTTTCTCTGACATAAAAGCTTTTGGGTTTTTCTTCTGTCTTTTTTTTTTTTTTTTTCACTTTGTAGCTTCTGGTGTTTTCTTCTGGGAAAAAAAAGTTTTTGGGTTTTTTTTTGTTTTTTTTTTTTTTTTTTTTCACTTTGTAGCTTCTGGTGCTTTCTTCTGTCTTTTTTCCCTTTTCCCCCCCCTTTTTTAAAATTAAATGAGTGGATGAGAAGCAGCTCCTTAAGAGCTGCTGCTCGTTTTTCATTGCAAAGTTTGCTGTGCCCCTGAGCTGTGGCAGGGCTGCATTCTGGGGCTCTCACAAGCCCCGTGTGTGCCCTCCTTCTCCTCTGTTGAACCTCACACTCCCTGTGCTTATGAAGCAACGTGCAGACAGGGACGTATTTTTATTGTGGAGGTTTACTTCATGGCAGGATTGGGAGCACAGGCACTGAGAGGCTGTCTGGAGGAGTCAGGCTGTGGGAGCTCCCCTCCCTCGTGTCCCCCAGCACGTGCCATTTGTCCTCCCACGCTCCAAATCTCCTTTATGGCTTAAATCCCTCCTGAGCTCAGCTGGGTGACAGGAATCCTTACCCACCAGCACTCTGAATTAAGAAGTTAATCTCATCCATCGATAAGCAGCTAATTGTATCTGGCCAGTATCAACACAATATCACTGGGTATATATTTTACAAGGTGCTGGAGTAATGTACTTTTTAATTCTGCAGCTGTATTGTCAGGCTTTATTTGGTCTCTTTTCTCTTCTATCTGTTCAGGGTTTTGTCTTTGACTTTTTTAATTAAAATCAGCTCGCTCCAGCCAGACTGGAATGTCCAATAATAACTGCTTATTAAGGAGTGGAAGCTGCACAGTTATTAATTTAAATTATTTTGTTCCAGAGGTTTTGCTGAAATTAAATGGAAAACCAAATCAAACAATGATTTAATTAAGTGGAAGAGATAGAATGTAGAGGCAGATTTAGAAGGTGAAGATCTAAAAGAAGTGTATCCTTTCAGTTTTGACATCTAACAGATGTAATCCTTCATCAGCATGGCAAAGCAGAGATTTACTGTCATTCAGAGGATAATGAAGAAACCAATGGCAAGAATTATGTTACAAGATAAGAAACTAAACTAATGAATATACCTTCACAAACCTGAATGAAAAACTCCAGAGAAGAGATTAAAAGAAACAAAGCATGCATTGTTAGAAAGCAATCTCATGCAGCTGAGCACTGCTACACACTCAGAACTGCTGAAATGTAGTGAAAAATTAAATCATATTATAGAATATGTATGTACACTTATAGAGCAACCTGGAAAACTTCACAGTGCATTGGGATATTTGAGGATGCTATGAAATTAATTTTTCAATAATAATCCTACCAATTTATTAATGTCAATAAAATTTATAGTTTATATATGCAAAGTGTTATAAATTCTACAGAAATAACAACTATCTCTTAACATTTCACTAAATGTTAAATTATTAAGACAAACTTAATTTGTGGTGAGTTCACAGGTCCAGTTTGAATAGATATAAAATGTTTTTGCTAATTTTGAGAGGGTTCTCCAGCTAGAGTAGAATCACCCGATACCAAACATCCTCACACTCTAGGTTGACTATTTCATCTTTTAAGTAATTTATGGTAATTAGTTGATTATTTTCTGAATAATTTTGTTTAACTTTATGTTTGAAATTATGCTAACCTCCTGCAGTTGGGATTGGGATATTTGAGGTGGCAGTGACTTTTGTGAGGGGCTCAAGTTGCTCTGGCAGCTTGCAGTGATAGTTAAACATTATTGTCATACATATTAAACACAGATAAAACCAGATAATTATTGTTTTGTCTCTTTTATAGAGAATGGTGGAGGGTTTTTTGCTCCACAAAGCCATTAGCATACTTAAGAAACTAAAGAATGCGAGAATTGATTCAATGCAGGAAGAGATTCAACTGTAGTTTTTCCTTCAGTTTCCCCAAAGATCACTTTAAATATTATTTTGTCTGATTTCTCTCTTCTCATTTCATCAGAAGAAACCTCTAATTCATAATAATTTATATGGGAGAAGAGTCAGATTGCAGAATCCATTCTTAAAGTCATACAGTTGCTTGGAAAAAGCACAACTTGAGGTGACATACATGGTCTACTAAAAATCTCTCTGTGGAGTTGGAAAACACCTGGTTTTATGCTGGAATATTCCCTAACCTGGTTAAATATTGGCTGCTCCATAGGGATCCTGGTCTCTGACTGATGCCCTTGCATGTGACAATGGTATTGTGTGCCACACACTTGGGGTTCACCAAATGTGGTTGTGTTTGAGGGTCTCCAGGACGAGGGAAGAGATGAGAATCTTGACTCCATATTTCAGAAAGTTGATATTATATTATGTTACTATACTAAAATGATACTAATAAGAATAAAGAGAAAGGATCTATCAGAAAGCTAGAAAGGAATGGAATGAATAATAAAAACCTGTGACTCTCAGAGAGTCTGACGCAGCTGGACCATCATTAGTCATTAAATTGAGACAACTCACATAGACTAATCAAAGATGCACCTGTTGGTAAACAACTTCCAGACCACATTCCACCGTCATCAGATAGTTATTGTTTACATTTCTTTTCTGAGGCTTCTCAGCTAGAATAAGACAAAAATCCTAGCAAAGGATTTTCATAAAATATCACAGTAACAGTATTGCTGGTTTTGATGGTGATGGTGGTGATTTTGTTGCTGTAGTTTTTATTGTTGTTGCCGTTATTCTTGTAATCATTATTATTATCATCATCATAATTCAAGTGGTTTTCCCATTACCACCCCCCTATCCCCACTGGATACAGAGTCTAGGACAGCACAGGGAGGGATGGGGAGGAAAACCCGCCCTGAGGGTTTATTCCAGCTGCCCAGGGGCAGAGCTCAGGTTCTGCTGACCTCGACACATCGGGTGGGCATTTCCACGGGCCGCTGGCCCAGCTTGAGGCGGTACCATGCCGGGGGCAGGGAGTGGTCACACAGCAGGTCCGCGCTGGCCGCTCGCTGCAGCTCCAGGGAGTCGAAGCTGGTGCTCCTGCGGGGGTCCCGGAGGATGCGGTGCCCCCCCGGCCAGCACTCCGGAGCTGGGGAGGAGGGAGAGGGCAATGAGTAATCAGTTAATCACTTTAATTCCGCTGGACGCTGCTAATAGCTTGTCTGAGATTGGAAATGGGGGTGTGTATTCTGTTCCTGTCTCTTAGAGGTGGGGCAGTTATCTTCTGTTCATTGGGCAGTTTTCTTTATCTCTTCCACAACCCATCCTCCCTCTGGGAAATATCTTCTGTTCATGGGCCATTAATTATTAATTATCTTCTGTTAATGGGCCAGTGAGTGTCCCTGCATGGCTGATAAAATTCCATCATCCCACTGGGAGATGCTCTGCCCAGGGGAGGAGCCAAGCATTCCCACCTGGTTATAATCTGACATTTGGAACAGCACAGCAGCCTTTGCCCCTGCATTCCTGGAGGAGCAGCTTTCTTCTCCCCTGTGTTCCCAGAGGGAGAGCAGGCCCATCTCCAGCAGCCCTGGAGCTTCAGAGGAAAACTGCAGCCTTGTGCAGGATCCCTGCTCCAGCAGAAGCACAGCTGGCACTGCAGGAGGGCTGAGCCCCCATGGGATGGGACTGTGCCACCACCCTGACCCACACAGTGTCAGCTCCTGAACTGACTCTGGCAGTGGTTTGTTTTCTTTTTTGTACTATTTCATTTATATTTTTAATTGTCCTAGTAGAGAACTGTTATTCTTATTCCCATATCTTTGCCTGAGAGCCCCTTCATTTCAAAATTATAATAATTTGGATGGAGGGAGTTTACATTTTCCATTTGAAGGAAGGCCCCTGCCTTCCTTAGCAGACACCTGTCTTTTCAAACCAAGACAATCCTAAATCCTTTTATATTCCAATTCATTTTAGGATTGGGATAATTTTCAAGGCGAACAAATCCAGTTTTAAATATATAAAGGTGCAAGCTTAGTAACATAAATATTTTAGTTATAAAGATTTTCATCATATCTGAATCAGGACCAAATCCCTTCACCTTTTAACATGATTTCAGCCTAATTTTAGGGATTAACATTTGAGTGTCTCCTCATCAGAAATCAAGTAGTGTTTTGAGGTTCCAAAGCCTTGTGACCTTTGAAAGTATGCGGGGTTTTAATTTAATTTATTACATGCATGAACGATTTAATCATGATATAAACTGATGCTCGAGTACAAAGTGCACTTCACATGCTTTTAAATATGTGCTGAGAAGATTCAGAACAAGTGTTGAAAAGACAAAAAAAAAAAAAAAGAGAAATTGTATGAAAACAACAGTAAAGGGTTTTGAGAAATCAGCTCAGCTTAGGCTTGAAAATATTGAAGCCACAGGTCAGACTCACTTGAGCTTGGCATAAAGCCAAGCACATCAGGGCTTGTGTGTGTGCATCTCAGAGTCTGGATCAAACCTGCTGCCCCTTGACATGTGTTTGTTTACACACCTGCCCTGTTTATTTTGTTCCCAGACAAATTAAACATTTCTTGAATTTTACAGAATATTCAGTTCTTTTCTTCTCACCTAATAAAAAGAAGCCTTGTGGTGATTCTGTTAGAAGCCGTTTATCTGCAAAGAGCTGAGCAAAAATGGCCTTTTCTTGGTTATCTGAGCCGTTCCTTGATGAGGCCAGGTCCCTTTTCCCCACGCCAGCGCTGCAGTGGGCACAGGAGGGGACTGAGGTGGAGCTGCTCTGCTCTGTGCTCAGCAACAGAAGGCTCAGCTAATTTCTTGCTGCAGTAATCTTTAATTGCTAATGATGATGTAAGAGGCAGGGGCCACATCACAGGAATTGCACAAACTGGCAGTTAGCAAAACCACCTCTTTTCTCTGTAAATAGAGCTTATTTATGTGGCGCCGTTGACAGAGAATGAGACCCCTCCCCACAACCTAATTTTTCAAATGTCACTTTTCAGATTGTAACTCTGCTTTAATATTACGCCAGTGGCACTCTGAAACACATTTATCATTTTTATTTTATTGACAAGATACTCAGAAGGTCAAAGTCAATCCATTTATGGCAGTATTTTTAAAGATTATTTTGATTGTGCCAAAGGCAAGGCAATGGTATACAAGACAAATGGGGACAAAATGTAGCGTAACGAAGGCTTTATTGCAATTTTCAGGGAACTAAACTGTCAAAGCCATTGCAATTGCAATGCAAAATTCTGCTGAATTAATACAATTGCCTTTTTAAATAAAAAGGAAGTGCCCTAAGCTTTTCTTTCCTATAGGTAAGAGACATTTCAGAGAGGGAGCACTTGGAAATATTGCACCTCTAATTAAATCTGGGATCAAATTCCTTCCCTCAGAAGTCCTTTCTGGAGACCACATGGAGACTGTCCTTTGCTAATTCCCAGCCCAAGGGAAGAAGTGACATTTCAGCAGACCAACTATTTTACAAAAATGAAAAGTTTACCCTATATTTAATACCCCTTATAAAAATGCAGACCCTCGCTGACCCCTCCAGTACCACTCAAGGCTCCAGGAGTGTTAATGGGAACAGAATCTTGGCTCCTGATGCCTTTTGCTTGCCTGAATTAGCTCCTGTCTGAACAAAAGGAAAAAGGAATCTAAAAGCAAACAGCTCTTTGCATGGTATTGCCACAGGAATCTTGCAAGGACACTGTGATGTAATTAATTGCATTCACTTTCTCAATAACAATAATATCAAATAGTGCCTTTAGATGTAACTAATAACCTTCTGCTTGATATGTATTAGCTATAATCCAAATTCACACCACATGTTGTGGTCTTGCCAGTGATTAACTACTCTGTCTAAACAATGCAAATATATCAGACACTGACACATGGCTAATTGTTTTTCATCCCTTGCATGGTTTTGTTTGCAGTAGTTTAGAAGAGGCTTTCTCACATCATCAGCAGAGGAGCTGCAGGTGGGCCTGGCAAAGGCCAGGGAGGCACTTGGAGGAGCACAAGGAGGAGACCTCCAAGGTCCCTCAGGAGAGGGGTGTTCATCCAGTAAATTCAACAGGATGGGGGACAAAAAGCCATGTGTTTGGTCCCAGAGGAGCCCTGGCTCAAACAGCCCCCTCTGAAGGTGTGTTTCACCCTGAATTCACTGCCAGAGTCTGTTGATGTGTGCCTGGGTCTGGTTGTGCTGGCAGGCTGTCACTGAGGAGGCAGGATGGCAAATGGATCTGCTGTCACACCCCTGGAGCCATCCTGGCGGGTTTTGTTCCCTGCCTGACGCAGAGCAGACCCAGGCACAAAAAGCCTCACCCGGGTTTTGCAGCGAGCCATGAGCAAAACAAACCCTCAATTACTGAGTTCCCCTTTGTAAAATGGTGCTCATTATGGCCCCGTGGCAGGATGATTGTAAACTTTAACATGCAAATTGCAGGCTGTGGTGCCAGTTAATTACCACTGGCTTTCCTGCAGAAATAAATGAATAAAGGCATCAATGTAATCAGACTTTATTATAAAAATGTTATTTAAAAGAAAACAACAAGAAGGCACAGCTGAGCCCTGGTGGTTCTTCATCTGAGAGATGCCCACTTGTACCTTATGGTGGCTGCAGCTACCATACCAAATCAGAGGAAACTTTCCTGTTCAATTTTAATTCAGGTGCAGGTATCAAGCTGATGGACAGCCATGAAGTGCTCAACATCCCAGCTGTCCCCCTTGTGAAAATTCATGTCTAGTATGGAACCAGTGCTACTCTGGGCTCTGCAGGTTAGGTTGTCTTAAAAAGGAAATATTTATTTTATTAAGAGAACAAATTTCATTTAATCCAGCGCTATTCCTACTATTGTATTTAAGGGGCCCATGAAAAAAAAAAAAAAGAAAATCTGGCTTTTTAGGGAGCTAGTTCTGCTTTCCTTCAGGAAGAAATTAAACATTGCAATGAGATTTTGTAGCTCTCTGTCCAGAGCTGCTGGAATTAAATGCTGGCTATACCTGGTGCTTTAGTCTCCTGCAAAGAGCTGCTTCTTGAACTACCACCAACACAATATAGGCAAGGAGCTGTTGCTAAGACATAAGCATTTGTTTGCTTTACTATAGACTCAAAAGCTTTTACCTTGGGTTTTTTTTTTTAATTTAAGATTTTTTTTGTCAGAAAGTTGTGGCAAAGAGACATTGAGTAGCTCCTTTTTGACACTGAAAGCAAACAAGTAATAATACCTGTTGTATCTGCTAAGTGAAAATGACATTTGAGTAGCTCTGGTGGCTGATGGAGCAGGTTCCTTGGGGAAAAGCCTGTCTCCACCAAAACCATGAGGAATGCTGCTGCTAATGCCTGGATGTTGAGAGTCATCTGTTGATGTGTGGGAAAGGAGGGGCAGCCTGTGGGCTCGCTGGGGAGAGGAGAGCCTCCTGCAGAAGGCAGAAGCATCCAGAAATATCCCATGGGAAATGAGCAGGAGGTGGACATCTGAACTGAATACGCTGCTGTGGGCAGGGGGCTTGGCTCTCAGCTAAAGGAAACATCAATGTGACCACAGCTGGAGGAAGATATTTGTGTCAGCAGGTCCTGGGGACAGCTGGAAGCCCATTCTGAGCTGGCCAATATTGTACCAGGTGGCAGTGAAGCTCCACAGGGCTGTACCAGGGACCAGCCAAACACGAGTCTGGAAAGGTGAACACAGGGCATCGCTTTGGGAGACTCCCTGCTTTGGGATCCCCTCCCTACCCTCACATCTAACCCCTGAACCACCCACTGGAGTTTCCAGCAGGTTGGTAGCTGGATGCTCTGCAAACAGCTGAGTCACCTGTACACTTTTTGGGCAGAGGTACTGGTGGGAAAACGCTGCTTTGGGTCTTCTTGCCGAGGGTCTGTCCCTCCTGCTCATGGCCATGGGAAGAAGCATCAGCCATAACAGAGATAAAGCCAGGAAACTTAAGAGTGGCAGGCTGAAAAATCATAAGGAAATAACTTGCTAAACCTGTGCTTTAATTTCTAAAGACAGGTGAGTATAAGTGTAATAGAGCTTTACCTGTCCCTCTTGCTCCCAGTAAATATCAGTGGCTTAGCTGGAGGAAGGTTTAAGAAGTTGTGAGATTTTGTTTGTTTGCTTTGAATAGCGGCTGCA